ATATTTATTTTTATTACAAATATTTGCATGGTAAAGAGCAAAAATGTGTTTTTCAATTCATTGCATACAAGTACAGTAGTGCAATCTCTTTATCATGAAAGGTGAACTTACAAATAGAAAATTATGCAGAATAAAAGCCTGCATTAAAAAAAATATAAAAATTTAAAGTTTACATGTCCACTCAGTCCTATTCCTTGTTCAGCCAATCACTGAAGCAAACCATTTTGGTTATAATTTGTAGGTGATAATACTGCCTCCTTCTTGTTTTCAATGTCACCTGAAAGTGAGAACAGGTGCTTGAATGACACTGTTGTAGCTGGCATTGCAAAATATTTACCTGCCAGATATACTAAAGATTCATATGTCCCTTCATGCTTCAACAACCATTCCAGAGGACATGTGTCTATACTGCTGCTGGGTTCTGCTTTAAAGATCCAAAGTAGTGCAGATTGATGCATGTTCATTTTCATCTTTTGAGTCAGATGTCTCCTGCAGAAGGCTGATTCTCTTCATTGGTGGTTTGGGTTCTATAGATTTTGCATCAGAGTGTCACTCTTTTAAGACTGTTGAAAGCATGCTCCAAACCTTGTCCCTCCTAGATTTTGGATGGCACTTCAGGGTCTTAAACCTTGATTGAATGCTGTAGCTATCTTTAGAAATCTCACATTTGTGTGATCTGCAGTAAAATCTCACATTGTCAAAGCTGCAGTAAAAGCAATTTTGAAATGAACATGTGCTGGGTCATCATCCAAGACTGCTATAACATGAAATATATTTCAGAATGCAGGAAAAATACAGGCAGTAGCATACAATTCGGCCTCTAAGAGTTCAGTCATAAATGTAATTAATGCATTATTTTTTTAAAGAGCCTCATCAGCATGGCAACATGTCCTATCTTCTGGAATGGTGACTGACTGGGCATATGAATGTTTAGCATATCTGGTAGCAAATACATTTCAGTGCAGGCTACAAAAATGCCATGTGAAACTCTGTTCTCATTTTAAGATGACATTGTAAATAAGAAGCAGGCAGCAATATTTCCCGCCTTAGATATTGGCAGAACAAGAAATAGAACGGAATGGACTTGTAGCACTAAAGTTTTACACTGTTTTGGTTATGAGTGTCGTTATATAACCAAAAAAACCTCCTACATTTGTAAGTTTCATGTTCAAAGTAAAGGGATTGCACTTCAGTACATGTATGGACAAATACTATTTTTGTTTGTCATTTTGACAGTGGATATATTTATAATAAAGTGAGCACTGTACACTTTATATTTTAAGTTGTACATAAAATCAATATTGAAAATGTAGAAAAACATCCACAAATATTTAATTTCAGTTTAGTATGATGAAATTCATTGTGATTAATTTTTTAATTGCAATTTATTTTTTTATTAATCATGTGAGTTAACTGCAATTAACTGACAGCCTTAGGATAGACCTATATCATGCAAAGCATTAGATTAAGCAGTTAACATAAGGCTTTGAAGCTTATCATAAGTAAGTGGCAGTCTTGTGTTTTGGAGAACAGTAACTATTCTGCTTTGGGGAACTGGAAACATTGTGCTTTGTGGGAGGGTTAATACAAAACAATACCAGGTAACTACAAGAGCACTAAACTGATACTAGGCTTGGATATTTTAGGATAGAAATGTTGGCAGATGCTTAACAATTAACTTGCCTTAGGGATGAACTGAAGTATGTAAGTTAAAATTATTAAAATTCTAACCTGTAGGATAAAGACCCCCAGCGTTAGGGTGAGGAAGTTAGATATAGACAAAAGTAGTAGGCATTTGTATGAAAAGTCACGAGAACCACTAGTTCATATAAAAGGCCATTCCACAATGTAAGAGGGAAATCTGAGCATTGGACTTGTTTGGTATGCCAGGGTGTTGCCCAATTCTTTAGTGGTATTGATTATTACTGGATTCTAGTTAATTACAAGTCTAAAGAGCTGGGTATGGCACAATCACAGAATCAGGCACAATAGAATTCAAATGATGGTGCGAATCCGCACGTGACTCAGTGCACATAATAAAATGTATTCTGTTCCTGGCTGTGGGCTCTGTGGGCGCTTTGCTAATCATCTGGATGGTATTTGAATCTCTCCTGCATGGCTGCTTAAACACTCAGTTTACAGGGAACACTGTTTCCAGTCCAAATGTAGCAATTTCTACCCTCTGATATCTATATGCAGTGCCTAAGTCTTGTTGAGTATTCTGCATTTCTCTCACATTTTGCTGCACTCTATGCCATATAGTAGAGCAGGGGTCCGCAGCCCCCAGCACGGACGCCACAAGGGGCATGTGAGCCAATCCCATGGCACACAGGGTGGGCGCTCAGCCCCGCTCCCCCCATATAGCCAGGAGCTCGTGTTACGGCTCCAGCCTCAGCTGTACAGCTGCAGGCTGGAACACTAGCTCCGGCTTCCTGCTGGGAGGGGGCAGCTAGGAGAGTCATGCGCATGTCCCTGGGGCTGCCCCGACCAGCCTGGGCGTGCAGCTTCCAGGACCTAAGGGGTTAACCTCCCCCTCCCTCCCGGCTACAGGTTCTGCCTCCTGCTTTGGGAGGGGTTGAGGTTGGGCCTGCTCCACAGAGCTGGGGCTGGGCAGCTGACACACGTGGCATGCTAGGGCCCGAGCTGCTGGTGTGTGCGCAGTCAGGGAGCTCCTTTGCACTGGGCCGGGATGGAGCCTGCCCCAGCCCCGGAGCCCCTGGCAAAGGGCTGGCACCGATAGGGAA